TAAGTGCGGATAGAAAATATATTTGAACCGAACACCTATTCCACAAATAAAAACACTATTGAAAAATCTAATTGAATCTTAAAATGTTTCAACATGTACAATTAGAAAAATTAGAACACCTTGGTGGTGAGAGACAAAGAGAGTTGAAAGAAAAAAAAATAAACACTACATTAGAAGCGTTCAATTTGACTCCATTCTACCAATAAGCCAAAGTTTTCGGCTTCAAGAAATTGTGAGTGATTCAATATTGCATTGTCAACCATTTGCCATAGGAATTAAATATTCCATTATCTGCTAACAAAAAGAGAGTATAAACATCAACAAATTCTTATGTGTATGCATAGATTCCACCCAAAAATAGATTCCACCCAAAAAATAGATTCCACCCAAAAAATATTTTTTTACTCTAGCAAGCAAACATAGATTCCACCCAAAAAAGCAAAGATTGGTCAGCATATCTATATATAAAAAACATATTTTAATCCCAAATAGGCTTATATTCAAAACTTCCATAGTAATAAAATAGACTTCTGACCACTTACTACTAAAAAATTTAAGATAGGCCTGTGTGTTTGTGTACAATGTGTGTGTGTGCTGGATAGAAAAATTGAAAGTAAGCTTCTTATTACCCAACCAAAAAGACATTCCATTAATAAATAGATTACTAAACGTTGTGTTATAGATTTTACCATATGACTGGACAAATTAAGTGCAAACCAGGGCAGTCATAATCAAGAGAAATAAGTAACTTCAATAAGCACTTGCAGGCCAAAAAAAAATTAGGATATGTACATACAACATCAGTTCTCTGAAGAGCACGGCCAAATATGTACTTAGTTTTCTTCATGGTCTAAATATGTATTCTCATCATTGTGTTTGTGGGAAAATAATAATGAATTAGATCAAATGCAACTTATCAAATAGCTAACAGAGTTTGAGAGGGACAACTTATCAAATAGCTAGCATGAGTCTACCATACACATACCCAAACCCACCTTCAATAGATCAGTTGAGTAAATATTTAAGTCAAACAAATCCAAATCAAATATATCCATCTCAGTACAGAAATATCACTAACACATACATGTACTTGAATGTGTGCTACTCCTAACAAACTAATAACTTCGAATACAATAAATACGAATAGAATCTACAACACAGAGAAGAAAACACACAAAAACCCAAAAATATCAAATCAATTATAAAAAATAGAACTTCATGCTATAGATGTATGATCTATTAAAGTACAACCGAGTTCAACAAAAAAAAGTCCATCAACTGGTTACCAAACTATGGCAATAGTAATAACGCCAGTCAGCTAATTAGGCAACATTAAACCCAAGAATTAAGAAAGAGAAGATCATAAATTAGGCAGGTTGAAACTGAATACATTTTTAGAATTGATCGAGTAAATAAGCAAACATTTTTAATGGAATTACGCAGTTGAAATACATCAGTTAAGGGGGAAAAAAAAACTGTTCAGGAAAAAAAAACTGTTCAGGAAAAAAAACTGAACAGATGAAAAAAACTGTTCAGGAAAAAAAAAAAAAAAGATCATCAAAAGAATCGCAAAATCTCACAAAAGATTAACCCATTTCCAACCCGAATCAGTTGAGATTATTCATTCCAAAAAATATTTAAATCTACATAAGGAAAGAATCTACACTGGGCTGAGCTCGGTAGAAGCAACTCGAATTTATTCATTCCAAATTACTCTCTGTCTTACTCTCAGGCAGGGAAACACCCGAAAAGCTCAATAACTTTTTGCCTCTCACTCTCCCTTTGCCTCAATCACAGTATTACTCTCTCTCTCTCTCTGCGTTTTATGTGTGTGTGTTTCCTTTCCCTCTCGCGCGCATCAGCGCCTAGCCCCAATTTTGTGTCGCCGTCCATGCGGGTTTCTAAATTTGGTTACTAATAAGATAGGACTCATTTTGAATCTTTTTCTACTTTAAAATTTAATTTATTTGGAAAAGCATAAGAACGGCTCAGATTAAATCCACTTTTAATTCAAAGGCCCACATTTTCATCTCATTTCTTCCATTTCAATCCAATGGCTTGCAATGCATCTCAACCCAAAAAAAAAATCCCGCCCATTTTGAACCCAAACACACGCCACCCCCAATTAAACCCTCTGCCCCTCTCTCTCTCTCTCCAATCTGCCATGGAACTAATAGCACAGCCCAGGTATACCCCCTTCTCTCCCTCTCTCTCTTTCACGACCCACAGCACAGAACATAATGATGTGTTCAAGCATCATTATGTTCTGTGCCATTTTTTTTACTTTGCCTATAATGGTTGAACACAGCACATAACATAAAATTAAATTAAGCTCATGATAGAAAGGTACACATCCCATTTGCTCAATGTCCTTACACATCCATCAAATGTCCTTACGCATATAAATATAGAAATTGTATGTTTCAAGGTAAAAGTTAAGCCAACAGGTTAGTTTATCTAGTACATCTTGCAAAAAGTACCTAATCATTTTTTTCTTTTGTTTTGGTACATCCAAATAAGTTATTCTGAAGAAAGTATTAAAAAGAAAATTAATATTCAATTTTGAGATGGATTTAAAAATGTCAAGAAGTATAAAACCTGAATCATTTCTCTAAGAAAACCCACCAAGAAGGAAAAAACACTGCACTGTTGCTATAATTTCACATGTCCAGATGTAACAAAACACACCCATAGATGCGTTTCGAGTGAAAATCAAGAAATCAGGTGTTTATGTAATCTTGAAGACATCAAAGTAACCATGGTGTCAAAGTGCATAGATGGAATAATTAAGAAAGATCCAGCTTGTGTTACTATGAAAGTCAAAGCAAACCGGTGCACAAAATTACACATGCAATCAATTAAAACGGTCAAACTAAACTTATTAACTTCCATATTCTATGATATATAATTACAGAACCCAAAAACAAAGAAAATTAGAAGAAGAAACAATCATAATTCCCCAGAAAATAGAAGAGAGAGAAAAACAAAATACACAAAAGATTGTGAAATTTTTACTGACAAAGGACACAACAATTTACTCAATTTAAGTCTTTGACAGCTATTTAGTAAATTGATTGGAACTTCTCAATTCTCATATATTTTCCAGGTGAAAATGAAAATGTAAATTATAAAAATTCTCTCTCTTATTTTCTTTTGAAACCCCCAAAACTTGGGAAATTTTGGTATTTTGTTTCTGCCAATGACACGACAAACAAAACAAAGAAAATTCCCCAAAGCTAACGATATAACCAACAGAAAATGATTTTTCTTTTCTTTTCCTCGCTTTTCTCTACAATTGACTTGAAGCCCCACAAGGAAAAGAAACTTCCTGGCTCTGTATCAAGTAGAAAAATTCCTTACTCCTTACACAAAATTAACCTAAATTCAAAAACCCAAACACATATTACTCCTTACCCCCTATCTCTCTCTCTCTCTCTCTCTTACGCTCCAGCCACACCACCGCCACTTCGTCAGCAACACCACCGCCACTGCTAACCCGTGCCTGAAGGCACGATAAAACATAAAATTCGAGTGCTCAAAAAAATCTATTTCACTATATTAAATAATAAATTTTCTTTGTTTATCCATTATTTTCTTAAAAATATCGACAATTTTTTTTCAAAGTACATAATTTGACAAAAATTCTTAACATATCTATGTATACTATATTGTATGGATAATATGTGAAATAAAAATTATATTAAACCATGAATTATTCAATATCGAAATAATTGGTATGTGATATAAATTGGTGATGTGATGTTTTTTTGGGGGAAAATATGTAGGGGATAAAATTCAACTTGTGAGCTATCCTATTATATAGATGTTTTTCCAGGTGTTGAAGCCTAAAGATAATTTGAGGAACGCTATTTTGTAACTTCTATAAAAAAGTATAGGATTTAATGGTTTTTGGAATGTAAAAGTAGACTTACCGAAAATTTTCCTGAAAATCAAACATCATATTGCTGTAGTTGCTTCAAGTTCTCTAAATTGCAATTTTGTTGTCATCTAGCAATGGGTAAGCTTGTCTCACATTTCACCTAGTTTATTGATCCTTGTTTCTTTCTTTTTATTTTCTATCGTATTTCGTGTATATTTGATAGCTCCATCTTACCACAGCATGTAACATATATGTATGAATGTATCATACACATATTCACACACACAGACACACACACACACACACACAGAGCGCTATAGAAATGATCTAAGACATTGTTTATGAATTCAAAAACAGCTCTACTTGTTTATGATTGGAATTCAAAAACAACTCTACTTTATTATATAGATGCATAGCAAGAATCTAACCCCCATGCCTAGCAACACCTGCATAGTAATAACGCAATAGTCTCTCTCTCTTTCTCACACACACACACAAGCACACACTAACCCCCATCCTACCCCCATATCTTCTCTGCCCTCTTCTACTCAACATCACCCAACACTTCTCTCGCTCACACACAATCACATTGCACACGCACACCCACAGCGCACAATACACACATACATACTCACCACCCACACACAAATCGCACACACACAAACAAACCCAGCACACACACCCAACACAGACCCAGTATACACGCACCCACATCACACACACTCACACCCACTCACCCACTCACCCAGAAACAAACACCCACACCCACTCACCCACACACACATCACAAACAGACCCACCCACACCAATTGTTTGTTGGAATGACCGAGAGAAATTTTGTGTACTCTGCCATTGAATTTTAATTGATTTACACTTTGTTTGATTTACAATTTTGTGTACTCTGTCAAGGTCTTTCCTATACTGGATGCCTCTTTTCTCCTTCTAGAAAATGCAAAAACTCAATTCGGTTTCTGTAGCTTTCTGCAATGATCAAAACTCTTAGATTTTGTTTTAGCAGAAATGATCATACCCAGCTAGAGAGAGAGGTGGGTATGTTTAATTTGCTGTGGGTCGTGAAAGAGGGAGAGGGAGAGAGAGATAGAGAGAGAGGTGGGTATACCTGGGCAGGCCACTTCAGGTCGTGAAAGGGGGAGAGGGAGGTACCTGGGCTGAGCTTGGTGAACGCCGTTGGTGTCGCTGCTGTGTTGATCGCCACTGTGTGCCGCTGCTGAGCCGGTGTCGCTGCTGAGCCGGTGTCGCTACTGTGTGCCGCTGCTGAGCCGTTGTGAGAAGGGTGTGGGTAGAGGGGTAAGGGGTCTGGGTTGTTGTCTGGGGTGAGGCATGACAGAGGAAATGGGTATGTAGGGAAATGGGTGAGGCATGGCGGGAGACAGAGAGTAGCTGTAGGGGATAGGTTTGATTTGAGGCAGAGAGTAAGTAACTGTAGGCGTGTGTTTGGGTTAAAAATGGGCGGGATTTTTTTTTTGGGTTGAGATGCATTGCAAGCCATTGGATTGAAATGGAAGAAATGAGATGAAAATGTGAGCCTTTGAATTAAAAGTGGATTTAATCTGAGCCGTTCTTATGCTTTTCCAAATAAATTAAATTTTAAAGTAAAAAAAGATTCAAAATGAGTCCTATCTTATTAGTAAAGATATATCTATCTAGAGACGGTGTGGATGAAGTTTTTTCTAAAATATATTATAGATTATTTAATAAAATTGTATTCTAATTAATACATTTAATCTGACATGAGGTTTTATTGAAGATTTTAAAAACAAAGGGATATTTTTTGAAGATATGATAAATTAAAATGGATGAGGGTGAAATCTTATGAAAAACAAATGGTCTGAACCTGACCTTTCTCTCTCTCTTATCCTCAATTCTTTCAGAACATTGGGACGAGTGAGGGTGGGTGAGAAAAAGGAGAGAGAGAGAGAGAGAGAGAAGGAAAGAAGAAGATTAAGATGGAACATCATTCTAGAAGGTAGGAGGAGAAGACAAAGAGAGGATGAAGATTCCCATGAGGTCCGGAGGGACGTCAACTAGCATTCACCTTTTGAGTGTGTTGGTTTGGATATAATATGAAATAAAATTAAATAATTAATTATAATTTAATAATTATTCTACCACTTTTCCCATATTCTGACTATATAATTTGTTTTCTTCTGAAAAAACACTATATTATGTTTGGATCTAAATTTAAAAAAGTTGTGAGTCCCCTCATCCTAATACAATATCTTGTTGGGTTGGAGGTTAATGTATGGTATTAATTTTGAACAAACGAAAACACCCGGCATTAATAAACAAGTCAACACTAAACTTATCTCATTTAATACCATTATATGATGTGATTCTCTAACAAGGATCACTACAAGAAAAATACTTTTTGCATTGGTTTGATTTGCATCAACAACATGTCGAAGCAAAAAAAGAGGTTTTTTGCATCGGCACTAGCAGCTAAAACAAAAAATCCTTCTTTTGCAACAACATTAACAACCGAAATTAATATATATATATATATATATATATATATATATATATATATATATATATATATATATATATAAACAACCAACCAAAGCAAAAAAAAAATTGCATCAACAGAAAGGGAAACAAAAACAACTTGTTAAAATGACATCGTTTTAATAATGTTACTCCGAAACGCTGTCGTACCATCTTGGAATATGATGCCCTAGGTCCCCCTATCCCATTCCTCCTTTTTCTCTCATTTGCTTCCCATCTCTATTTCCCTCAAACAATTATTGTAGTCTTTTAGCCTATTTATTATTATTAAAAATTATTCATTATTTTTCTTATTATATTACCCATCAAAACACTAACACAACGACCGAACAAATAATTCAATGACTTGGTCTCTTACTTGAGTTAATGTCAGGGTTAGATTTTAAAATTATGATTTCTTGATTTACAATTTATGTAGGTTAACCCAAACATGATACTGTAAAAAATATATCTGTATCGTATCAAAACATCTAACAGATTTGAGTTAGAATTGAGTAATTTAAAGACAAATAAAAAATAACGCAAATACAAACACAAGTTACACACTCATGACTCAACTGTCCCTCTAGCTGATAACAACAATTTATTAAGGATAGATATGGAGTATCAGACACTTATAGAAATGTTTGAATCATAAAAAAATCCGATCAACAACATCATATATAGATGATAAAACATGAATTAACATAAACACATATTCTAGTCGTCTTTAATGGCATTTGAAACGCAATTCTTCAACCAAATCATTCAAATCAGAAAAAGACGATCCACCATCTTCAACAGCTTTCCTCGCCATCTCCTTAAACCCCTTTGCTCTTCTTCTTCTTCTTTCCTCAGCTTCTTCCCCCACCATTATCTTTGTCATAGCTTTTTCAATGGCGTCACTTTTCACTCCCTCACTCGCCAATCTATTCTATTCCTTAGCCCCAACACCAATCCCAATCTTCAAAATTTCGGTCACCAACTTTTCATTATAAAATTGCTCCGCAAATATAGGCCATGTCACCATTGGAACACCTGTAGAGACACCTTCCAAGATTGAGTTCCACCCACAATGAGTCACGAAACCTCCAATAGCTTCATGAACAAGTATCAAAACTTGGGGTGCCCACCCTCTTATAATCAACCCCTTACCCTTCATTCTCTCTTCAAATCCTTTAGGCAACCACTTCTCATTATCTTCGTCTTTCCCTTTTCGGACAACCCAAATAAACTGTTATTCAGAAGATTCAAGTCCTATTGCAATCTCATAGAGTTGAGAAGCAGTAAACTTAGCAATGCTTCCAAAACATATGTAGATAACTGAATTGGGTATCTTGGAGTTAAGCCATTGAAGACATTCATGTACATCAATCAAAGCATTCTTTCCTCTGTGCATCTTCTCTTCAATATCCCTATTGCAGAGAGAGAGTGGGCCTATATGCCATGCCCTTCTGCCCAAAACCTTCGTGTAATGAGCAGCATAATCGGGTTCAAGCTCGTTGAAGCTGTTCATTACGACACCATAGCTCTTCAGCTCCGATTCCTTCATTTGATTCAGCATCTTTTGCCAGTCATTTTCAGTCTCTTCTTATTCATTATCTGCCACTTGTGTTCTCGTCAACTTGATCTCATGTGGGAAATTAGGCAAAACAAATGGTTCAAAATCAGAAGAGACGTTTTCGAAAGGCTTGTAGAGTCTCATGCTCTCTTTAGCACACAAAGCAAAATAGCTAGTTCCATGGAAAATCAGTCTTGGAATAGCAAATTTGGCTGCAGATTTTGTGGTCCATGGAAGGAACAAACCGGAGATTAGGCAATCGGGACGACGCTCCCTGAGGACTTGTTCAAAAGGTTCTTGAAGCATGGCTATGGCCCTCGCGAACTTGGATAGCATGTCGTCGGAGGTGATTTGATCGGCACTTTCACAACCTTCCGGCAAACCGACCTTGGCGGCGGGGAATTTCATGACATGGAAGCCAATCTCCATGCCCAAAAGCTTGGTTCTTTCGATGGTTTTGGAGAAAACAGACACATTGACAGGGGTTGTGATTATGGTGGTTTTTACACTGCGTAAAACGTAAGAGTTTGGCCATGTCCAAAGTTGGTATCATGTGGCCATGAGCAATGAATGGGACGAAGAACACATGAAGCTGACCCATTTGCCTTTCCATCAAATGATGAAAATGCTAGCAGATGAAAATAAGAGAGATAGAGAGAGAGAGAGAGAGAGAGCTAAATTTCTTGTGTGAATGACAAGGGATGATTATGACAAGAACAAGGTGTACATATATATATAGGCTGTTTAATTACCAGGACTTGAGAGTTTTATGATTTTAAATGCCATTATTGATCAAATTCAAACTTCGATTGTTTGTCATCCAGGGTAATAGATGTCATTGCATAAGTCATCTTGACCTTGAAGTCTTGGTGAAAAAGAAAAGGAAAAAAAGAAGTCATCTGATCATCTTTTTGTTCTGCAGAATTGACAAGTACATGGTTTAAACAATAGGATAATCAAGAGCAGTGTGGTTCCAAGAGAGCAGAAAAAATGAGCAAGTTGGAAGAGGACAAAGAATAGTTGTATTAATAATACATATATACTTTTCTAGCCAAAAAACATATGGTTGTATTGTAAATCAATGGATGACCTTGCACCAACCACCCAACTAACCTCGTTATTTCCCACTCATTTCTACGAGAAATTTCATCTGGAGTTTGTGTAAGTAGTACACATTTGAGTGAACACAAATAAAAATAAAGGAGACAGAAAAGAACAATGTTTGTTAATAAAGGCAGACCGAAGAGTTCAATTAACACAATTAGATAATTCAGGTATTAATAAAAGCAGAAAAAGTGAGGATGAGGAAGATTTGGACATTATTTTGTTATTAGATTGCGGTCTTTCTGGGTTAATGTTTGCGGGGTACAGGGCATGGACTAGAGGAAGAGGACAAAGAATAGTTGAATCATAAAACATATGGTTATTCACTAATGTGGATATAATTTAGAGACATAATTTCTTTGAGCGAGGACGATTAGGATGAGTTTCGAAAATTACAAATATTTTATGGCTAAGTTATAATATTTTGTAGGTGTAAATTCAACTCTAAAAAACATTATTAATCACGTACGATAAAAAAAAAACTTTCGGGGCTTGGAAGACACTAGGTAATAATATATCACGATCGGCCACGATCCACGGTCCAATATGGGTGGTTGGTCATTTTTCTTTCTTTTATATTGATAATTAAAGAGTACTTATATTTTGACCTGAATAATTGACTTAATCGGCTTTGATTCAATGATGTGATATCATTGTAATCGTTTGATTAACAATAAATTTTAATATTTGATAAAACTAATAATCAATTTAATGACTATAATAAATTAAATTTAAATAATATTTCTCATAAATAAACGGACCATAAATTTATTGGTGTCTGACTTTAGTAGGTAAAAGATTGACTGATCCAAGGATCAAGAGTTGCATTGAATATAGATAATTCTGTGTATTAAAATTTGCACCAAATTAACTGTAGTCTTTAGATTAATGAGGGGACCTACTAATTCAAGGACTGTAAGTGATTTATTACAATTTTAGTGTATATTTTTTGTGGGATTGACTTTCGATTCGAGCCATAGCACATTGTTCCCTAAAATTGCACGATTTTTTTGATCTAAATTAAATAGGTTTTACATAACAAGATTTGACTCAGCATATTATATTCGATTTGGGTAGTAGAAGGAACTCGAATCGGCATTTAAAAAAAATTATAGGAAGCAGAACAAAGTCAATTTTATCCATTAACATGAACTCGACC